TAAACGACCATGTTTGTAAACGCAATTACTATGGCACAGTCCATCGGAGACCATTGTACGTGCAATTACGATTAACAACGACCAACTGAGCAGTTCTTTGCCGCAGGATCTGGCTAGCTATATCGTTTGCGCGCTTTATGGAACTGGATAGATATCTCTCTTTCTTTTTGCCGGCCGTTATCACGTGGCATCGACGAATTTACACCAAGGAGAAAGTCGGTCTATTAATACGACGGTGCGGTGATAACGATCACTGGTACCGGGCAGCACGACGAATTCCTCGCCGCCACATAAACGTTCATCCTGTTCTTAAGCCTCACTCGGGCTCGCTTTATCTCGTGCTTGCTTCCACGACGTTGTCTAATTGGAATTAGAAAGTACCGTTTCGAATTCGTAAAAGTTATCGGTAACACGTGTTCGTGAATATTTCAGGATCTGCTGCCCGCTTGCCCTGTCCACTAGCAGCTGCAGTTCCACGGAATGGGCTCACGTGGATCAGGTACGTGAATCTCCGAAGAAATATAAAAGCAATGGAAAATAGAGAGAACACTGGAACACAGTTAACAATTGATTGACTCGACAGTCTCAGGAATGGACTCGGAAACCGAACAACACCACGGTGATCCGTATCAATCAGAGCCAGAACCAAAACCACAGGTTCGTGGGCGCGGCAGGTCGTCCGAATTCGCGTGGTAATTACGAAGACGACATCGATAACGAGCCCCTTTACGACCCGGTGGCGCCAAGAATCGACTACGAGGTTCACGACTTCGACGCCAATCCGAGAGACGAAGCAAATCGGCGTTTGGCTTATCGGAGGGACAACATGCGGCAACAGGACGTCATTTACGACGGTCCGGCCGATGATATGCCCCCCTATCATGGAGTCACCAAAGTGAGTCGCTCCTTTGCCAAAAAGCTATTATACTCTCGTAATAGTGATCACCGCTGGGTAATTAAACGATCAATACTTTCTACCTTCGAGTTTCCTCATAATCGTCACGGTCATCGACGCGGCTTAATTAAACAGCGAAACGATCATAAACCATAGTAACAGTGTATACTCGACTTTGTAATATTCGTCACAGGAGAATGGCACGCAGGATGGAGACAGGAAGACGATAACGACCGTGGAGATTCACCAAGCCGTATGTCCACCAGCACCACCGCCACCTCTTCCTTACAAATGGCCCGGAGGTGCGTCGAATGATCGCAAAGTAAAGTAAAAGTCACCTTTTAACACGCGTATCGTAAACTAACCGCGAAACGTGTTCCCCCATCCTTGCAGACACGAAGCCAATGAACGCGAAGGGCATGCAAATGGGTAGCACGATGTCGATGGGCAGCACAGGCTCGACGGAAACAGAGTCGAGCCTCGAGTCTTCCTGCAGCAAGGATTCCGCCTCGACCTCTTCCTCGTTGTCGACGTCCTCCTGCGAGCCACCGTCGACCGTTTCGTTCGGCTCGATCACTGCCACCTCCACCGGGACCAATAAAACTAGCGACACCACTGTCACTGCACACGCAACGTCCCGCAATTGCACTACAAGGACATCGCCGATAGCCTGCACTGACCTGAGCTCCGCCATCACTCAGGAATTGCAGAGGCGGGCGCAGCAGGTAGGTAGAGGCTCCGAGGCGATTTTCTTATTTGGTTCCCCTTTGCTTGTTTATGTGCATTGCAATACAAGTTATGGGAATTTGGTTTCTCACGTACGATCGATCGATTCTTCGATCCTCTCGTGTACATTCGTGATAAGAATGGCATTCTATCCGACAGGCGGCAGTATTTATCGTTGTTTCGAAATTTAGACCAGCTGCTATATTCTGCAAAGTAATCAATGATTCAGTCAATGTTGAAACAATAATGATAATTAATAAAAAAAAGAAAAGTCTGGTCGTCTTGCGATTGAGTTATTCTTTTTCTTTTTGGATTGTGAAAAAATTTAACTTACGTGTTTTAGCAATTAGGAAAGCTGTTTGTATCTTGTTCTGTTCTTAGACTGCTTTTTACACTTTGTTTGCCGGGTCTCGTACGTCACTTGCGAAGATAACTGTGCTGCCGATAGATAAGATTGCTCTGGAACGTAGCCCCAATAGTCATAATAATAAGGCTTCGTTCACCGTAGAAGTTATACATAGATCTAGATTCTTTATCGAAATATATGAAACTCGCAGACGCAGTTTATCGATGAGATCCCATCTGATTCAATAGTCGATACTTTCTCACGGTATGACTAATTCTAAGTTGATCATAAATCGCATCGCGGGATAGATAATCAATCACCGACGTAGACGTGATAAATAATGCGTGTATTTAACGTGTCGTCTCTTCCAGAGGAACATGAACAACGCCGCGAAAATGGAAGCAGGGAAGGAAAAAGCTGCGGAGCCTCGGAAGCCACAAAATCCAGAAGCTCTGAGGGCTCAAGAACAGAAGGTTACGCACGATAAGGTATTTAGTGACTCTTGTGATTCTATAGAAACTGTGATAAAAGTACACAACGTAACGTTTATCTTTATTAAGTTTACACGTCGAGGCACAATATTGCCACAAGAATTGAGTCGAATTAGTTCAAGCGTTCACGATCATCCAAGACAATCCAAGAGATCCCGATGCGCGTTTTATATATATTCCGTACGATCTTTTAAAGTCGGTGACTCTAACTCCAGGATACCAGTGCGATTCATAATGTTGCTGTATTCATAATCTATCGCGCGTTTCCTTGCCTCGTGTGAGAACTCTCGTATCACAAACATCCCACTCAATCCCTTCCGTGGCATCCTAACGCTTGTCAGTTATGTTTAACCAGGCGAGAGAGAGGTTCATTCACTTGCGACAATGCGGAAACGGTTGAAATTGAAATTGAATTGCGCCCGATCGATCCCTCGTCCAACGATTAATTAAGCCTCGCAGAAATCTAATCGATGTTCGGACGTTCGATCGTCGATAAAAAAAAAAAACGACAGATTCGGCAAAGCATTTTCTTCTCAAACGATGGGAGAGAAACGCGCATTAACAAATTCATTAAAAGAGAAAAAAAAAAAAAAAAAAAAAAAACAAGAAAAACGAAAAGCGTAATTAAAACGCGCACAGATGCTGTAAAACTGTACGATAATAATGAGTAGAGAGCCGGTTCTAATTAAAAATTGCACGATGGTGCAAACGATCGAACTTTCATATACACGAGCGTTCGAGGCGCGCAGCTCGCTCGAACACGCAAGTTTAGTTCCCGGCTGAACGCGGATTCAGTGAGCCTTAATTCCATTGCGGATGACACTTTCATTTGATTCAGGTTGTAATTAATCATCGGCCGGAGGAGTAGCATTAAGAAGCGATAAAGACGCGACAAAACACAACAATTTGAATTGTTTGCAGCTGATGGAGGAGTTTAAACGTGCTCACCGGAAGATGTTCAACACCGCTCAGCAGAAAGTTCATTTCTCAGATCAAGCGCCGGAACAGGTAAGAGAATGATAAACTTATCATTGGTGGTAAATGAACGACCCACGATACACTCACATATACGTACTTAAGTACGTGGATTCGTGACATTTTTTTCGTCCTTGCGATAATTTGGAAAGTAGCTTGATCGACGTGGTTAAAAATATTAAAAGATTAAAGAAGAATCGTTCAGATAAAGCAAACGGAGAAATTTCTTTTTTTTTCTCTCTCTCTCTCTTTATCAAAGATTCTATCATAATCGTGCGCGTAATGCATTTCGTTCAAGTACGACGTTTAATACTTTCACCGTTTCCCCCTTGTTTTTCAACGGTGAAGACGTTACACCAGCTTACGCTGAAAAGATTTCAAGCCTAGGATAAAATTCCTCGAGTGCGACCGCGAATTAATCTGAAAGGGGGGGAACGATACTTCTCGTAATAGTATAGTTCGATGGAAAGAGCGGAACTGAGAATACACGTGAGCGGTTAATTAAAAATCCTATTAGCCATACTCGGAATTGAACTCGCGATGGAAACATGTTATACGTATATCTCGAGCGATATACGATATAATATACGCTGCTTGGCAACTGAGCGCGGAGATTAAATATTGATATAAAAAGAAGAACGGGGGAAATGGGGAGGATTGGAAAAACAAAAGAAAAAAA